CGTTTCTCGTATTTAAAGTCTTCGCACTTCTGGGCACTTGAAGATGTCAATGCACTTTTGAAATCCCGTCTAGCTTGTGCGTATTTTACAATATTATGGACATAAAACTTCGCCAAATAAACCGAGATTAACTGACTTAGAGAGAAAGAGAGAGTTTATTATTATTCTCACAAAAGAGCCGAGTAAGATCATTTAACGGGGGCAGAAGGAGAGTTTTTACTGCCAGGAGACCATCAAGTCTTTGCAAAATAACTACAAAAACCTCCACAACAGAAGGAATAAGCGAAATTCGCCTTTTAAATTACTTTAATACACGAAAATATTGATATCGGAGAGAGTATAAAGATTCAACTTAAAAAAAATAAAAAAATTAATTGATTATCCTAGAAAAAAAAATCAACCACAAATTAACACGCAAGCAGAAAACACATCGAAAACCAAAAGCACATTATTAATTACTAATTTTAATCAAAGAAAATGTTCATAAATTAGTGGCGGGCGCCCAAAAGACACATTAATGAAAATTTAAACGAATTACAAATCTATTAATAGCTTCAACTCACGGCAGAGACTCTGCCTTCACTTTGTCATAAAATGGAATTTCAAAAATTTAAGGACCAGACACACAGACTAGCAGCTAAATAGCTTGAGAAGAGGCAGATAAGAAGCTTGTTGAGCTAGCAAGACTATAAGAGAGAGGATGACACATTGAGAGGATGAGACGTTGTGACAGCAGGAGCAGTAAATGGCAAACAAGACACAGGATAACGAAGGAATGTGAGGAGCTCAGTAAAAATATGGCAATATTGCATAAATGTAGGAATGTATGTTTGTGTGTTTTTATGTACATAGTTCATGGCACGTTCACTTGACATTGTGAAAATTGTGAAAATGTACTCGAATGCCAAGTCAAAGTTTAATGGTCTGCTATAATTCATTACGCTAGGACGATAGTCCGCGTATAGATAGACGCATATACAGTTCACACTCACAAACATACTCCTACATATGGTGTGAGTATGGTCTCGCATATCTCTCGTCTCGTGAGCTTTTTTTACTCCACGGAAAACTATTTGTCTGCTAGGTATTTTAGTTAAGCTTGTACTGTGTGGTTGGAGGTAGCGATTTTTGATAAATACTTGTGGCTACAAGTGCGGCGGAGCTTTCGTCTGTCCCTTCTTCGTTCCCTTCGTTGTCGGTTAATTAATTCAACCACAACCAATGCTATGATACTTAGGTTCGTAGAGAAACTTGAGAAGCTACATAGCATACATAGTATATATAGGTATTTAAAAATATTATATACTTGAGCAGAAATCAAAAAGAAAAATAAAATAAATAATCAATATAAAATAAAATAAATATAAGATAAAGTAAAATTAAAGGAATTGACGAAAGAAAATTGAATATGATTAAAATGAAGTGAAAATAAAATAAAACATAAACAAAATAATATAAAATTAAATAAAATAAAATAAATAAAAACAAAAACAAAATAATATAAAATTAAATAAAATAAAATAAAATAAAATAAAACAAAATAAAATAAAATAAAATAGAATAAAATAAAGTAAAATAAAAAAATTAAATAAACAAATAAAATAAATTAAAAAAAAGTTAAATAAAATGAAATATAATAGAATAAAATAAAATAAAAGAATAAAATAAAATAAATTATATTAAAATAAAAAAAATAATATGACATAAATTAATATATGTTGAGTTAAATAAAATAAAATAAAGTAAAATAATAATAAAATATTTTTTGTTTTTTTTTTTATTATTATTTAGAGTGAAATATGAAAAATTTTGTAAAAACTCAACACAACCTCAAAACGAGCTCAAACCTAAGAACTTATAGGGTGGCAGCATCGTTGATTAGCCAATGCCCCCAACGAAAAATGAAAAATGGTGAACATAACAACAAACATCAAACGCACTTGAAGATGAAGCGATAAACATATAGAAAAAGCAATAGAAATCAATAAGACAGAAATAAATAAGAAAAAAAATTAAATAAAGACAATAGAGCAAAAGCAGATGGTGTATAACCTATAAAAGAAGCTATATGAATGTAAGAAAAAAAATACTTAGCAAGCAAAAGAAAAGTGGAAAATTGCTATCCTCTATTTCTGCACTCAGAAAGTCTTTAGCAAATAATGAAATTAAATACTCGTAGCATACACCAAGGCGTCAGCACTCGCTTTACAATAAGTTGCGAATTTTTCCTTTTGTTTTTAGCGACCTAAAACTTTCGTTACAGTTACTTAATTTAAATCTTACAACTGACATATAATGCTTGCTTAGTCTTCTTCCATTCACAGCTTAATTTGCATATGGAGTCAAGTGGAATTTTGTTGGGTAAAATGTCGTACATACATAAATCTCAAACTGCATTTGCTATGCAAAACTAAGAAGGAAAGTCTAAATGGTTAAGCAAATAATTGTGCAAGCTTAACTTTATGCTGAACCAGTTATATGCGAGGAGGATAGGTATATTCGTATTATTAAAGCGAGATTAAAAAATATGCTTTTGAAAAACAGAATGTCCTTTGATGAGCTTTAGATGTCACTACGAAGATCATATGTTTTCTTTACACGATTTCTCAAGTATTTGGACTTTTGTAACCTAGGCTCGACAGCGAAAACTGATGAAGCTGGAAGAAAACTTTTTCGCCCCCACCATAAATGTGAATGTCCAAGCATTATCCTTTGCCTGGAAAGAAGCCGGGCTGAATTAGAATTTTCCGCAGTTCTAGCGCGATTGAGTTGAGGGTAGTGAAGTGAAGCTAAAGAGATGTTTGGCCGTGTTCCCCCTCTAATTTGTGGTATACTGCCTTGATATTTTACAAGAAATGTTTGAGCCTAAAGATCATTTTAAAAACCTCTAAACGGCTTTTTATTTCTTGACAGAAATACAGTCGTAAGGGTGAGCATTCCCTGCCGGGAGGCGACTTCAATTGGTCCGAAAAGTATCGCAATTATTGAATTACCGCATCGTTGTACACTGAGTTAAAGAAAAAACTGCTTTTGGGGCCATTAAAGCTTTGAGAATATCAAATTAATTGATAAGACTTTTAATGTTTGCGAAAGGCTTAAGAACTCTCTCAAAATTGACGCTTTCAAAGACCTCCGACGGCGGCTCGAAGTAAGAGAAAAATGCTATAAAAATATTCTCTCTTTCATTGTTATATTTGGCACACATGAGTACCTCCTCTACAGCTTCGGTCATTCATCATTGTCTTTGTTAATTTTCATCTTTCCGCTCACTTCATTGTAATGTCCATTGTCATTGTCTTTCATTATGGAATTTCTTTCTGTCATCCTTAGAGCCGCTTACTCAAGCTTATATCCGCTCACACATGCTCACCTCAGCCTTACTTACACGTAGGTTGCCTTATTTCGTTCTAGCTTTTGTGCTCCCATTTGTTGAAGTCCATTCCTTTCATTTCCATGCTTCACAATTGGCTACATTGCACAAGTGGTCCCTTAAGTTGTTATTTGCTGCAGCTCTTTCGCTCACTTCACTCTTCTACTATTTTCCCAGCTCAGCAATACTTTTGCACTTCTACAATTATCACAAACACACAGGCACACACGAGCGCCCCTTAACCTAATTTCATAACAATTGTAAAACCTCACGCCCAACTTCCGTTCCGTCCATCAAATCGCATGAATTTGCATACCCAGTTCCAGACCGAGCCAAATACCAACATGGTTAATTAATTTCTTGGTATACGACCCAAGCGCTTCACAGCGCGTCAACAGTGAATACACAAAAATGCATTTAATCTGCTCAAAACTCAACAGCAGTTAGAAGTTTTTAGTAGGGTTGCCATCTAAACACACACACACACAGAGGGCGCAACAAAAAACTACTGAAAACGAGGATATTGTGATTTACTCCGACACAACGACAATGGTTAGTTACCAGAGCCGAACACTAGGTATACATTAATTCCGCAATTTGTAAGAAGAGCAAAGGAGGCGCAGGGTCGGATGTTGAAGGAACGAGTGGACGATTGCCTTCTACAAATTCGGCAACATCAATTTTGTTGAAAGAAAACTCGGCTGCACACAGGCGTCTGTTGCACAAGTCAACACACAGAGTTCGCTGCTAGACATATACTCTGTTCGGATGTACTCGTATGTATGTATGTCGGTGACTTGCGGTGTTCAAAGTAGCTTTAATGATTTTGGTGACATTACGGTTACTTACGATGTTGTGGTTGTCGTTGGTTTCATCGACTTCAGTGCTGTTGATTTATCAAAGTTTACTCAACAGCACAAATTTGTTTGCATACTTTTGGGCGCAAGGCTGCACGGAAAGCCTCGTCCAAGCGAGTAGGAACCAAATGATTTGTACAAACTTTTTAACGGAAAAAAACTTGGATTTTTGATGGAAAATTTCATAAACGCTTGAAGTAGTTAGAAGCATCAAAAGCAATTTACTCAAACAGTTTTCGATGGATGGAAAAATTCATTTATGAAAGTTAGGTTTGAAGCCTCTAGAGATGCCGAAGGTTGCTGTAGATAAAAGAACGAATGAAATCGGGTTAAGAAACATGTTTACACTTTATTGAAAAGCGCTAAGAGCTCTTTTGGCAAATGCAATTTCTTTCTGGCGTGGTCCAGTTCAAGAAGCACCTTATACCGATCTACCATCAGCTTGATGAAATTTGCACCAGCATCGAACGACCGTTGGGCCTACAAGAAGTTGACAAGCAGTCACCGGTACTCTCAACTTCATCAATGAGAGCCAAGTGCTGCTCTTAGCACATGATGTAAGCTCCGATTGCATTACTTTGGCCGGAGTTTGCTTATGCAAATGATATTAAGGATCAATGAAAACTTAATGAATCATCAAGTTTCACTATCTGAGCAACATCTAGCCAACTAAATTTCTGCTCCACAATCAGCCTTGCATTCCATGTTCATGTTGGATACCCCGCCATCTCAAAATCAATTTAACAAAGAATCAAAAAAAGTTTCTCACTTACCAATTGCCATGGCCGTTTCCTGTGCATCGCCCGTGACCATCTTAACGCGCACACCACTCTGCATCAGCATCTCAATGGACTCACGTACCAACGGCCTCGGCGGATCGGTTATGCCCACGAGACCACAATAGATGAGATCCTGTAAGCTGCGTCCCTTAGCCAAAGCCAACACACGCAAGCCCTTCCGGCCAATTTCGTATGCCTCTGCCAAGAATTCCGCCTCATTTTGTTTGGTTAGCGGTACCGTTTGTGTGCCGAACATGTATTTCGTGCATTGTGGTAAAAGCATTTCCAAAGCTCCTTTGGCGAAGAAAATCTCCTCTTTATTATTGTTGTATTTATGTATGCACTTGACAGCCATCATTTTCTGTTCCGACGAAAAGGGATACTCCTGTATGCGCACATAATTCTCGGCCGTGGCATACATGCCATTCTTCATAGCCACGGCGATGAGTGCGCCCTCTGTCGGCTGACCGAGTAGTGTGCCATTTTGTATGTAAGCATTATTGCAGACAGCGCCTATTTCCAGCAAATTGGTGATGTTTGCCTTAGCCATTTCGACGTTGTTACAATTGCGTATATGTATCTCGCCTTGGTCATTATAGCCAGCGCCCGTAACGTCGGCCATGTAGCCGTCCGATGTGATGATGACTGTCGCTGTCATTTCGTTCTTCGTCAAAGTGCCCGTTTTGTCGGAGCAAATGACATTCACGCAGCCGAGCGTCTCCACCGTGGGCAATTTCTTGACAATGGCATTTCGCTTGGCCATTCGCATCACACCGAGTGCTAGCGTTACGGTGACCACAATTGGCAGACCTTCGGGTATGGCGGCGACAGCGAGAGAAACGCTGATATTGAACATTTCCGTTAGTGGTTTGCCTTGCAGCCAACCCAAAAGCATGATTACACCAATAATGAGGAATGAGTAGAAGCTCAGCTGTGCGCCGAGTATATCCATTGACTTTTGTAGTGGTGTTTTCGGCGCTTCCTCAGCCTGCATCATCTTGAATACCTCCCCGAACTCACTGCGCTCACCGGTGCTCACCACAATACCCTTGCCGTTGCCACAGCGCACCAACGTGCCCATGAAGGCGACATTTTTCATATTCGTATGATCCTTATTGGTCGCACTGCTCAATATGAGTTCTGTACTCTTGCGCGCTGGCTCCGTTTCACCCGTAAAACTCGACTCATCTATCGAGAGATCGATTGCTTCGAAGAGCCGCACATCGGCTGGCACACGATCGCCTACATTCAAGTACACCACATCGCCAGGCACGAGCTCGCGCGCTAAAAAAGTATCAAGACGACCTTCGCGCAGGCAATGACACTCGGGTGGCACCAACTTTTTCAACTCCTCCAAACTCTTCTCCGAGCGATACTCTTGTATGAAGGCGACTGTTACCACAATAATAATGGCTATCGTTATGCTCACAGCATCGTCATACTGTTTCATAATCACCGAAACAAGCGCACTGCCCAACAGCAACAGTATAAGTGGATTTTTAAACTGCTCAATATATTTCTTCCATGTCGGCTCTTCTTCATTCACATTCAACTCATTGTGTCCGATAATTTTCGAACGATACTTAGCCTCGGTCCATTTGAGACCGGTACGTATGTCCACCTGCAGGCGACCGGCAACCTCGGAGGCGCTGTACGTCGATGATTCGGACGTTGTTAGCAACATTTCGGGCGTTAGGGTAGAACCCGTCTGGAAGAAGTATAGAAGAAGAAGAAATATTAGAAAAAAAAACGCAGAGGGAAAGATGAAATTTATAAGAACGAATTAGGTTAGTCTGCTCGTATAGAAATATTTACTCAAAATCTTATTTACCATCTTTTTAAAGAAATAATTCTTCGAATATACATATGTATCTATACATAAGGATGCCGGAGACATTTTATCTGCCTCTGGCAATTTTATATAAAGGCACGAGTATACGTAGGTCTGAGTAAGCTAAGAAGGGAAAATTAATATGTATGCATATGAACATAACTGAGTATGAGTATGAGTTTGGACATTATTTTGACAGATCCGTTTGAGTATAATTATAAGGCAAGTGATAGGAGTAAAAATATTATTATAGATATGTGTATAAGTATGAGTACCAGTATAGATGTGTAGTAAGTATAAATACGAGTATGAATTAATACGAGTATGAATGAATGTGAGTATGAATGAATATGAGTATGAATGAATATCAGTAAGAATGAATATGACTATGAATGAATATGAGTATAAATGAATATGAGTATGAATCAATATGACTATGCATGAATATGAGTATAAATGAATATGAGTATGAATCAATATAACTATGCATCAACATGAGTATGAAAGAATATGAGTATGAATGAATATGAGTATTTATGAATATGAGTATGAGTGAATATGAGTACGAATGAATATGAGTCTGAGTATGGGTTTGAGAAATTAGTTTTATTTTATTTTAAAAAATCGAACACTGCACTTTCATTAATTTTCCAATTATTTATTTTATTAAAGCCCTCCTACCCCACGCCCCTTTTTAATTTTTGGTTACATTCGTAATCTACTTCATAGTGTTTACAGAATATATGAAATTGTAGAGTACTAATCCAAGGTCTCATCCCTTTCATATTGTCATCAAATTTAAATCTCTTAATGATATTAAAAACGTGTTTGTATGTATGCGGGTATGTATGTATATAGTTTTTGTTTCGTTGAATTTCAGTATTCATTACATACCAGTTTGTATAAATATACAGTAAAATGTTACATTGCAAATTTTCTATTTTTTACGATTTTTTTCTTTAATTTTCCAGTCACGTTTTCCCTACAATGACAACAACAGACACACTAACAACAAGTGAATCGAATCGATGAATGTTATCAGTACTTGTTCGTACCAACTAAACTATTGATGAGACTGATGAGGTCGCACATAGACGGACAAACGTATGGCATATAAATGTGCATACGAGTATCCAAACGAGTATATGTACTCATGTGTGTAAATAGATATAGATTTCCATAGAGAAATTTTTATTTTGTATACAATATAAATCTAAAGGTACGATAGGTATGTATGTACGAGTATATCCATATTACAGATTAAAGACAAATATAATCGAACAAATATGCATGTGCACATACAAACATACATACATAAATACACATGGCGTCTAGCGTCAGTTACAGAAAAACGTCAAATGCAACTGACAAATGATTGTAGCTATATTAAAGTTCTCTGCCTCTCTGCTGCGCCACAACCAGCTGCCGCCTGCTCTTGGGCGGTAAGCAGTCACACACATTAGCTGAGTGGGTGGTCCACTTATCTATGAGTGTATGTGTATGTGCGGAGGTTTGGGTACTGCAGACTCTTTGCCTGACGGATGGACATGACAGCCACATGTCAACGCGGCATGCTGATGTATTGTACAAATTTTAATCATGAAGCCAATGCTGATGCCGCTGAGCATGGAGTGCGGATGTTGCTGGCAAATTAGCCGAAGAGCAAAGACAAGCTAAGAGGTAGGTGGTTAGACAAAATGACTTGTGTACAATTCGTTCAAATGTACCAGAGATATTTCTATAAATGACTCTATTTTTATATTTCTTTCCGGTACGTATGTATGTATGTATTTTCTTCAAATGCAGCAGCTTTGGAGTGAAATCAAAACCACCCACCGCTTGCAAATATCAGGGGAAAGAGTAGGAAATCTACCTTTCCAGCAGAGAAAGTAGCAATAAAAAAGAGGAATTGTGGGTGATTTACAGTGCATATTCAACTAAACACATGTATATATGTATATAATAGAGCTTTAAGCTCCTTCATTCATTTTGTGGCATGGTCCACAAGCTGTGCTCGTTACTAATTAAGTTTCAGCTTGTTAAGCTGAGTGAAGAACATTAAAAAAAATTGAAAAGAAAAAAAATACAATCTAAAGAGCTTAGCGGAGAGTTTAATATGCAGAGAAAATATGAGAGTAAACTCTTATTTGCTTTTAATTAAGATTTTTGAAAAACTTAAGTTTCGAATCCATATAAAAGATACTTAAAATAGCAATTAAATATTTTTGTTGGCAAATGAAACATCCAAAAAAAAAAAAATATGAAAACTATGTTTGACATAAAATTAAATAAAAATTAAATTTAAACTGTAAATTTAAATCACAAATTTTTTGAAATATTATTAATTATTAAAATTTTAAAGTAAATTAATTATATAATTATAATTAAGACATTATAAATAACATTAATTATATTTTTTTAATTTTTTCTCAACTGATTTTAAACACAGTCATTTCGGTATTCTTCATAAAAATTAATTATAGAAATATTTACCAACAATTAAAACAAACAGATTAAAATAAATAACTTTATAAAAAATGAAATTAGTCTAAAAAATATTTAGCTTAAAAAATTGGTTAATACTTAAATTAAAATCATCAAATCACTAAATTAAAAATAAGGTATTAAGTGAAAAAAAAATTAAAAAACTTTTTTTTTTGTATTTATTTATTCTCAAAGATACACAAATGCAAAAATTATACACTAAATATCTTTAGGCTACGTTCGGTTGAAGAAGCTGCTGGCCAACAGATCACCCAGGCCACCATTAATTAATACTTGCTGGTCAAACCTGCGTACGGAGTTGGCAAAACGACACAAGGGACGTTTCTTTCACTCAGGACCCTATAAGTTGCCGCCCCTAAAGACTACAGCTTGCTCTTCTATTCGCAAAGAAAGTGCCTTAAGGTAACCAGGTAACCGTTACTTCTTCCTCTCTAAAACGCTTCCAGTATGCCCAGCCTCTGCATGTCTACCTACTTAAGGTCAGATGTCCCTCTTAACCTATTCCAAGCCGGCCACCTTGTAAGAGTTAAAACTCTTCCACCTTGAGTTAGCATCTGTGATGAAAAACTCTCTCATAGTGAGCTTACAAGTGAAAAAGTGAAGAGCGATATGTCTAGACTTTGCAATGAAGTGCTTTTCCTTACTCATTCGCTCATACGCCTCACGTTACCCAGTATGTTACTGATTATTTGTTCTCATGCTAGGTTCAGCGAGATCTGCTTAACCTACACTTTTTGCGATTTGCGGCATTCTCAAGGGTTTCGGATTTTATTCTGATACATTCCAGAGCTCTTACTACTACTGCCTTGCTATCGTATTTATGGTTCGGTTTACTTTAATTTTGATTCAAATTCTTATTTTCGAAAATTAATTATCGTGGAAAAAAGTGAAAATTGCATCAATAGAAAACTTAAAAATAGATATTTGAATAAAAACAGAAAAAAAGCAAAAATAATCAAATAGTAAAAATAAAGTTTTGTATTTAAATGAAAGAGAAATAGAAAAAGACGAGAATGAAAATAAATAATATGCGGCTAAAAAATAAATAGCGAATGCAAAAATGTATTTTTTATTATTATCTTTTTAACTTTAATTGCCTTTCTCTATAACAATTTTTCTCAGAAACCAACTATGCAACTTTGGTGCTTTTTCTACTTAAATGCCAACCACTGTTGTTGTTAACACAATTTTTCCTCCACGTGTAGCATAGCTGATTATTGAGTTACTGCAATTATATGTATGTATGTATATAATATTATAGCGTGTTTAAGCTGAAAAACTGTTTAATTGATTACAAAATGGTAATTAATTCTGTATAAAGACTGAGGTGGTGTGTGTAAAAGTGATGATTTATGGAAAACCACATTGAGACGTGAAATTTTTTCAAAATTATCAACAATTAGAGCGTGTAATGGATAAGTCGTAGGCAGTGATTATAAAAAAAAAACATTTAAAATATTTTTAAGTTATAACAACGATGGTGATATCCCTCTAATTTCTTATTTAAATTAAAAATTATTTATTTTTCCACAACTATGACTCTTTTTCTTAGGTTTAAGAAAGTATTAAACAAAGTCGAGTCAAGTGAAGGTGGTTTATAAAATAATAAATAATTTATGATTTTTATATGCATCAAAAATCTGTACTTGATTTACATCACTCATACTAATGTACATTCACACTTATGTAAGTAAATTTGTATTACAAATGAAGTTATATCAAATTTCAATATTTAATACTTGTCAAATCGTTGTAAAGAATCTAGTATTTCTCCATAATGATAGCGCGATTTTTATTGATAATAATATTATGAAATCAGGTTTTTCAACAACGTGATTTGTATGATTCGAAAAATTCATTGTAAAAGCCATGGAAACGGCTAGCAGTAGTATTTGTAAGTAAGCATGTATGTACGAGTATGTATATAACTAACTATGTAGACACTGATGAATGCCTTTTAGCTCATTTGCGTATAGAATTGCCATTTCTACTACTCAAGTCACATATACCCGTAGTATATATGTACGAAGGTATGTGCTATTGAAAATCCTCAATGGCAGCTTAAAAAATAAATTAAAAAACAGACCAACTTAGTTTAAATTTTTATCTTAATTAATGAAAAAATGTACATTTCTGGCTTACATATACATATAGCATACTCGTATACACATACATATATGTAAAAGTAAAATAAATAAATATTTTTCCGCTTTTTTCTTAAGAGTTAATTAAAAAATGTAGCATGCCTTCTGTGCAGAGATACATACACACACGTGTGCATGTGTATGGTAGTAATGCGTACGTGAGTATATATGTATATACACATATAGCTATTTATTTGCGAAAACCTCCTTTCGTTTGTAATAAAACAA